TCTGTCCTGCTAGTCCCAGTCCAGCCAACCCCCGCAGATGGTTCTGCAGCGTTCAGAGCTGACAAGCGGAAGAGGCTCAGGTGCTTGCACACACCTGCTAACTGGGAAAGCTGCTCCAAGCTGCACCTCCACCACAGCTGGGAATTAGCCTAAAATCTGAGGAATCGCCTTCTCTTGGAGACTGGCTCTAGCAACAACCTGAGCGGTGGGTGTAACAGGAGTGTTTCTCTTCCACCCAGAGACTGCTCTACTCTGCCACGACAACGCAATGGAACCACATTGCCATACAGACTGAGCCTTCTCTCACCTTACATAGCTACAATATTACCTTAGCATCTAAATTTAGAAATATCAACTATGATGTCTCTGCCAGATTCGTGCCTTTTTGTCTTCCTCACAGCTTACTCAGTTTTAGTCTTTCATCTCTCTGTTTAGTACACACAGTCATTGTGGTAGCAAGAGAACAATTCTTCTGACAGGTTGCCCCAGTATCTTGCACTTCAGTCCTCCTGCATTACCTTCCAAAAATGTCTTTCTTTTTGCTTCCAACATTACTACTGTCATTATGGCCCCTCCATGGTTTCTTCTCGGCTCTGTCAACAGGCAGATTTCCCCAAAGCATTTTCCCAAGGACTCCAAGGAGAGCACTCATTCCCAATGGCAAAGGCACCCATTCAAACCAGCTTCTCCTCTTTTCACTAGAAGTTGTACAGAACAAGTTTTATTTGGTAAATTTAAAACCCTGAAAGCAACAAGGAAAATGCAAAGCTTCCTAAGCTTCCTAACAGAAGAGTTAATTCTTCACTCAGTTATGCACGTATTATTCTCAGCTTTTTTGTTGTCTTTCACTACTCTCAATTATTCACAATTCTGTGTATTAATACAACAGAGAAAACATTTATCTGGTAGGTAGCTTCATTGCTGTTCTCTGGACACGCTCCAGCAACTCAATGTACTTCTTGCAGTAAGGGGCCCAAAACTGAACACAGTACTCGAGGTGTGACCTCACCAGAGCTGAGTACAGGGGCACGATCCCCTCCCTGCTCCTGCTGGCCACACTATTCCTGGTCCAAGCCAGGATGCCGTCGGCCGTCTTGGCCACCTGGGCACACTGCCAGCTGATATTCAGCCGGCTGTCCACCAACACCCCCAGGGCCTTGATGCCGGCGGCCGTCTTGGCCACCTGGGCACACTGCCAGCTGATATTCAGCCGGCTGTCCACCAACACCCCCAGGGCCTTTTCCATGGGGCAGCTTTCTAGCCACTCTTCCCCAAGCCCGTAGTGTTGCATGGGGTTGTTGTGATCCATGTGCAGGACCCGGCACTTGGCCTTGTTGAACCTTACACAATTGGCCATGGATCCAGCCTGTCCAGATCCCTCTGCAGAGCCTTCCTGCCCTCATGCAGATCAACACTGCTGCCCAGCTTGGTGTCATCTGCAAACTTACTGAGGGACCACTTGATCCTCTTGTCTAGATCATTGATAAAGATATTAAACAGAACCGGCCCCAGTACTGAGTCCCGAGGAACACCACTTGTGACTGGCTGCCAGCTAGATTTAACTCCATACACCACAACTCTCTGGGCTCGGCCATCCAGCCAGTTTTTTACCCAGCAAACACTATGCCCATCCAAGCCATGAGCAGGCAGTTTCTCCACGAGAATACTGTGAGAAGAGGTGTCAAAGGCTTTATTAAAGTCCAGGTAAACAACATCCACAACCTCTGCCTCATCCAGCCTGATCACGTGGTTGTCCAGTACGTGTTGCGTGATGGCATACAATATGGTCTTCTCCATAACCTTCCCCAGAACCGTGGTCAGACTGACAGGCCTGCAGCTCCCCAGATCCTGCTTCCGGTCCTTCCTGTAGATGGGCACCACATTTGCTAACCTCCTATCAACTGTGACCCGCTCGGTTAGCCAGAACTGCTGAAAAATGATTGAAAGTGGCTTGGTGAGCATTTCCACCTGGCTCCATCAGACCCCCTGGGTGCATCCCATCCAGTCCCACAGACTTGTGTGTGTCTAAGTCATGAAGCAAATCACTGAGCATTTCCCTTTGGATGATGGAGGCTTCATTCTGCTCCCCATCTATGTCTTCCAGCTCAGGGGGCTGGGTACCCTGAGAACAACTGGTCTTACTATTACAGGCAGAGGCAAAGCAGGTATTAAGTACCTCAGCCTTTTCCTTATCCTTTGTGACTATGCTTCCACCCGCATCCAATAAAGGATGGAGATTCTCCTTACCACTCCTTTTGTTGCTATTGTATTTACAGAAACATTTTTTATTGTCTTTTACCACAGTAGCCAGATAAAGTTCTAGATGGGCTTTGGCCCTTCTAATTTTCTCTCTGCACAACCTCACAACATCCTTTTAGTCCTCCTGAGGTGCCTGCCCCTTCTTCCATAGGTCATAAACCCTTTTTTTTAACCTGAGTTCCAGCCAAAGCTCTCTGTTCAGCCAGGGCACTCTTCTTCTCCACCAGCTTGCCTTTCTGCATATAGGGACAGCCTGCTCCTGCCCATTCAAGATTTCATTCCTGAAGGATGTCCAGCCTTCCTGAACCCCTCTGCCCTTCAGGACTGCTTCCCCAGGGACTCTGTCAATCAGGTCCCTACACATGCCAAATCTGCCCTCTGTTTCTGCATTTTCAGCAACAAACAACTATTGTGATTGATATTCTGTGTTAACACATTGAGCCATCGCCTCTGAATACAGCCTGGAGATCTACATTGGTTTGAAGAGCAGTGTAATTAGAAATTAATTCATTATGTTGGACAGGAGTTAAAAAAGAGTGGTACAGATCCAAATGTACCAAAACAAAGCAAAAGTGTACATGACAATATTCAGGAAGACTTCACTGCCTTCTTGATACACACACATTTTCCATTTGCTCACTATTTTCACATAAAGATCACAAGCTTGTAGTGTCTCTGATGCTCCAGGGTATCATTATGAGAGATAGTCCAGGCTTTGTCTTCATCCTTGTACTATTTTTAAAAGAATATTATTAATGAGAAACAACGTGTAATTTTGTGCTCTGAAGCGGGTGAAATCAGAAGTGTGTCCCTGTGCTTTTAATGTGCAATTGGAACCAACCTATGAGTTAGTCACACACAGTGCAGCATCAGCTGTTACATCTATCTAGTCTTTCTCCCAGGAATTTAACTGGATATTTGATTATGGATATCTAACTAAAAGGGGTTTATCATGACCCAAAATCTTGACTTTGAGAACCACACCTCAAAGCCTCCTCTTCTTCAATGCCAGAAGGTTTATTTCTGACATACTGACAGATTTTTAAAAAACAAAAAGTTAATCCCAGGAGACTTACTTGTAGAAACACTTTAGTAATAATGAATAAAATATAAGAAAAAAAAAAAAGGCTGCAGGCTCACTAAGTATAGGGATAGATTTGTGTGTGGAATTTTATCATTGCTTCAGAGTCAAATTCCACAGTTTTTCCTTGCTGTATTTTCATGGACTATACTAAAACATCTGAACTTCCCTGAAATACAGCAAGAGAGGGAATACAAGGAGAATGTAGGTATCAATCTCAGGTCCACATATCAGACTCAAATGTTTTCCTTTATTTTACCAGAGACGACCTACGCCTTACGCTATCTTGCTTAATTAATGAAAACACAATTTGAGACAAAGACCCACAATATCAGTTTGTATTCAAAAATTAATACAGTTAAGTAATTAATTAATGCAATCATGATTCTCATCAGAAACCAATTCACTGATGTTTCCCATAAAACTTCACTATCTGTGAAAGTCTCAATGTAGATAGGGCCTTCTCTACCATAAAGGCCTCCTATGCTTTTTTCAAATGGATATAAGAATTCATCCAGAATGGCAGAGGTAAATAGCTTTCCCTTGGAACCACAGCTGAAATAGGAAGAGAATATACAAACGTTTGTGTAATACAGAAATGTATTTGCCAACATACTACTGGCCAAATTTACCTGTATTAACATAGTAACACAGCTAAAAACATTGACATCACTTATTAACAGGCAACATTAACACAGATCTACTTGGCTAACCAGTACTTCTATGCATAGCATTATTTGAAAGACGTAGATAAACCACAGAGTTCTCACAGGGGGTTGCAAAACATGATCAGAGCTGGAGTGACTTGACTACAACGCAATAATAAGGCAAGCTAAACCTGTGGGGGTTGAGCTGAAGGAGAGCGAAGCAAACACAAATGTAGTTGATGATTAACTACATGAAAAGTAAAAAGGAAAGGAGAGAAGAATTTAGTTCACCCAAAATTGAGTGCAAAAGGAGAAACTGCTCAAATAGCTAGAAAGTGTTTAATGATCTTCCTACAAAAATGACAGCAGACATGACTTTTTAGATACTCAAATGTATTGTTCTGTTCTGAAAAGCTTCAAAATAAAATGACATCTTCTTTTCCATGGCATCTGCTCCTGGCGGAGACGTACCTGAACAAAACAAAATATTGCTGTTTTCATTCCTCATAGCCGTGTTCTCACTGCACAGTCCCACTGCCTTCAGTGGCTGAGGTCACTACAGGCATAATCTGAAGAAAGTGGGGTTCTTTTTTCTGATGACAGTCAATGAACCCTCCGCCTGAAAAAGCTTATCTCTGCCTGTAGACAGATTTAAGCACACACACACATGCACACAGAAATAGGAGGAACATAACTTAATTCTCACATTTCAAATTGAGTTTATGGGTCTGGCAGAAAAAAAAAAACAGAGTTTTTCACTAGTAAATTTGATACTTAAAACATTGAGAAGTTGCAAGTATAGAATGTACTGACAAAGGCATAATTTGAGAGAGGAATTTAGGACTAAACAAAACTCAGAAGAAACATACCATGTTAGAGCAAACACTCACAAGAAATCACAGTGCTCAGATGCTATCCTCAATGGTACGAAAGCAGTTACAGCAAGAAGCATACGATAAACCAAAAAAGGTTGGCATTCACGACAACAGTTCCTTTCAGCACAATAACAGCAATTCACAGGCATGCTATAACTATACATAGGTAAGATGACAGTATTATTACCTAAATTTTTTTCAAAACCATTTGATTAGGTAGCCTTAAGATACTTGTTTGTGCCTGAAACCAAAAATACCAATGTATTAAAAAATTTTTAGAATAATATTTTCAGCAGAGTATGATTCTATAAAACAGATTTGTGGCCTGTGGCAGATAATCACAGAAGAATAGTTTCTTCTCAGATGAAGAGTTTGCACTGATGTGAATTTACAAGGTTAAGGATATGAGTAAAATCTAAATTTCTTTGAATTGGGACTCCTACTGAATGAAGTTTATGAATGTCAATTTAATAGTCTGGATTTATATTGAGCAGGTATCAGGCCACATTCGACAATTAACGCTCTGCTCAAAAAGGTCAGTTAGAGTCATACATTCTGAATTGTAGAGTCTCCATTTTAAGTGTCATCAATGTCAATTAAAAAACTAAGAAAAAAACCCAAAAAAACAAAACCAAAACCAAAACCCACTGCCACCAACAACAAAAAAACTACCACCCAGAAATGCTGGGAAGCTAATCCCTCAAAGTATTGATACTCTTGCCACTTTTTAATATAAATTGAGAGGGAGAAGATATTGGTGATGATGTTGACACGCTTGAAAATCTAGTCTCAATGCCTCTAACAGCAAAACCATCAATATAAACCAAAGCGTGTATTTTTATTAAGTTAATATTAAGTTGAGTAAAGGCCTTCCCAAAGTTTATGCTGATGTTATAGTGGAATACAAGAATTCACGAATGAAACATAAAGTTACTGCTATTTGGTTTTGCAACCAAAACTGAGGGGGGATCATTTCTGTGTATTTTCTTTTTTTATTCTTGCTGCTTGTGATTATTGCTACTGATTACTTGATCCCAAAAGAAGAAGCATGTAGAGGAGAATGAAAAGAAATGAATGGGTAGACAATTATACTCCATCAGATGTACTTGAAATCAATCACGATGCAGTTTACTCAGGCTGTTTTCCTGAGCTTGCCATCTCTATGAACTGTTCAAGGGAAAACCTCAGTAATGATCTGGCTTTCTGCACATTGATTTTTAACAGCGTTGTCATTTCAGCCAATAGAACTCAGGTAAAGACTAAGTGAAAACATTTTCTTTCATTGGGGAACTAACAAGTGCATACAGGAATTTGCCCTGAAAATACAAAAGAGAAGGAGAACAAAAAGGGTGTCTACTCCCAAAATTACTGTACAGCATTGCAA